TGTGTGTGTGTGTGTGTGTGTGTGTGTGTGTGTGTGTGTATTGGTACTGGCGATCAAACTCAGGTCCTTATGCTTACAAAGCAGGCAGTAGAACCACTGAGCCAAACCTGCAGCCCCTTAATATATTTTTAATACAGGTAAAGTTGCAAAATGAGAGCCCATCTTTAGTTGCAGTCCTTGGCTGGTCTGCAATAAAAGACTTCCAAGGAATGATTGCTAAGAACAAGTGCTAGAGTTGCAGAAAGTGAACACCGTATTCTGGCAATAGTAAGTAGTTAGTTTGGCTGCGTGACAGTACATAGTGCATGGAGTAATGTGAAATTTTTGGAATAGCATATTAGGGACAGATTGTAGAGGGCCTAGGATTTCAGCTGAAGTAAAGTTGGACTTTGAGAAACTTTGAAGTTTGTTTTTGAAATTAACTCACTTTGAAAGTTAGTCTTGGCAGCAGCATACACAATGGAATGGAGGGTGGTGAGTTTTTTTGTTTGTTTGTTGGTACTGGGGATCGAACTCTGGACCTTGTGCTTGTAAGGCAGGCGGTGACACCACTGAGCTAAATCCCTGGCCCTGGAGGGTGGTGAGATTAATGGCAAGGACACCAATTAAGAACTTATTGCAGAAGTCCAATGTGGACGTAATAGGAGCAGGATCTGACAAAAGCTTGGAGCTGTTCAAATGACCAAATTATCAGCCAAACTGGAACTTGGAGAAGATGCCACACAGACATGTGACGGCATTCCCCAGAGGTAAGTTGCTTCCCAATAGAACACATTATGAACTCATAGACTTGCTGATTTCCACTAACGAAGTCACATGCTATTATAAAATGTCTGCTAATTAGCCTGACCTAGCTAGAGTCCTCCCCTTGATCTGACCCAGGCTTGAGTATGATCAGTGTGGTTTGAGCAACAATTTTAAAATAGGGAAAGTAGCATAAACCAGATCAATCCATAACTTTACAGAGTTTAAGCAACTTTTATTAGCACCAGCCAAAACAATTAACACTCTCCTGTTCTTTGCTTCTACTGTTAACAAGATCTTCTAAAATTATTGTTCCAGACTTTCAGCTTCCACATTTCTTGGCAGATCAATTTAATCCCTGGTTCCTGCAGGGTTATATAACCTATTTCATGGTGGCAATCCAAATTGTCTTGATTTATATTTGTTTTCACATTATTCTGTATGTTCTAAGCTGATTTTCATACATAACCTTTGTTATTCCTCCTTTCCCAATTATTGTGGGTTGAATTATAACTTGTTTCTTAATCAGCTAAATTTAGATGGATACCAGCTGTGTAGAGACAACACCTTTAGTACCTAATTGATGAATGAACTGAAAAATAGCAATAGGACTATGAAGCTAATGGTTAATTGGAGGAGAATGCAAATTACGATTGTGAGAATGTGTGATGAAAAATGTGAGTCCAGAGAGATGGAATTACTTTATATATGTAGTAACTGAAAATCCTGGAATCACATTTAGTACACTACCAAAAGGTATTAAGATGTACTTTTCTCCCTTCTCCTCCAACTTCCCTCCCTTCTATTAACATTTTTAACATCATGGTACATACTGGAAATTACAGTGTTGCACTCTTCCATCTTGAAATAATTTGGCAATGGATGAAAAGATTTTGTTATTTTAAAATGGCCAGTTGTTAGCCAGGCGTGGTGGTGCATGCTTGTAACCCCGGAGCTCTGGGAGGCTGAAGCAAGAGGATCACAAGTTTGGGCCCACCCTGGGCAACTTAGCAATTTAGCCAGACCCTGGTTTTTATTAGTATTATGTTTGCAGTACATAGTTTATCATGGTCAGAATAATAATAAGAATGAAAGCCCTGGGTCTAATCCCCAATACTGAGAAAAAAAAAAGTCCAGTTCTTAGATTTTTGTTGGGCTAGGGATTTAGCTCAGCGGTTTGGTGGCCTGCTTCACAAGAGCAAGGACCTGAGTTCAACCCCCTGTACCAAAAAAAAAAAAAAAAAAAAAAAAAAAAAAAAGATTTTCGTGACATGATGCTTTCTGTAAACTTAAGTGTAGGGTGGGGGACGTGGCTAAGTGACCCTAAACCTAACCTTAAGACCCTGGACTTGACACCCCCATACTGGAAAACAACGTTATTATTATCCTGAGTCCACACTTCACAGGAATCATTTGATTTTTTTTAAGTACTTTTGTTAGCCAGGCATTAGTAGTATCTGCTTATAGTTGCAGTGCTCAGTAGACTGAGACCTAGACAAGTTTGAGCCTAGACTGGACAACTTAACAAGACCCCCTCTCAAAAGAAAAGAAAAAAACCTTTTTGTCTTTGGTAGTGATTAGAATTTTACAATTTTAAGAAAATAGTTCCTGAAATAATAATTTTTAAAAAATTATTTTAGGCATGGTGGCATGGTCCTGTAGTCCCAGGTACCTGGGAGGCTGAGGCATGAGGATCATTTGAGCCCAGGAGTGCAGGGCCAGCCTGGGCAATATGAGTGAGACCATATCTTAAAATTATTTTCATGAAGTTTTGGTACATATTAGGAGTGCAGGGCCAGCCTGGGCAATATGAGTGAGACCATATCTTAAAATTATTTTCATGAAGTTTATTGGTACATTTTAGGTATTCAGTACAGTTACATTCATCAGTGGGATCTTGTACCTTTACATGATGTATCTTGATTCTTATTATTTTCCCCATACCTAAACATTTTTAAGTTTTTTTATTTTACCTGGTAAATAAAAACATAAACATTGTACATACTAATGGGAAATGTGATGTTTTGATTGCAATAGGAAGTCTTAACCAAGAGTGGAATTAGAAGAACAGGGATAGTCCTCAGTAAATTTGTGAATATTTGATGTATGCATTTACTTTTCAGAGGGTTATAGGTCCTCAAATGAGTCTATAATTTTAAAAAAGTCTAAGAGCGACTCTCTGCCCTGCTTGACTAGGTTCCCAGAATTGCACCTTGCTACATAGCCTGGTGGCTAAATGCTTGGGCATTAGAGTCACTCTGTGTCTGAATTCCAGCTCCTCTAGTTAATAAGTATGTAGCCCTAAACAAGTCAATTTACCTCTTGCACCTTAGCTTCCCCATCTGTAAAATGGGGCTAACAATAGTATTATGCCACAGGGTTGTAATTACATGAGTTAATATTTATAAATACCTCAGCAAAACATTTCTGAAGATCTGACGTGTCTGCGTCTGCAGTGGCAGTGCATACGTGGGGACCTGAATGACACCATTCATGTAATCAGAAAGACAAACAGGAGGAAGAAAAATTTAGATATATAATTGCTTGGGTTGAATAATTAAATTTGGAATACAGCTTTAAGAAAATGCTCATATTTCCAAATATAGGGCAAAAATTCTCAAAATACAACCTTTGCTTTTCCCTTTTTTTTTTTGGTACCAAAGATTGAGCTCAGGACCCCGTGCTTGCAAAGCAGCTGGTGGAACCACTGAGCTAAATCCCTGGCCCTTTTTCCTTTTCTTGAGACAGAGTCTAGCTATGTAGTTTAGGCTGATCTTGAACTGTAGTGATCCTCCTGCCTCCATCTCCCAAGTGCTGGGATTACAGGAATTTTTCCTTCCGGCCAGTGAGAAAGTCTGGGTGCATGGACACAGTGTGGACTGTCATTATCTGACCACTTACACCAGTGTTGGAACAAACTACACACATAGGACAATTTTGTTTGTAAAGAGAATGTGTCTTACACGTACATCTTCCAGGGCCAGGGATTTAGCTCAGGGTTCTGCTGCCTGCCTTGCAAGCACAAGGGCCCAAGTTTGATCCCTGGTACCAAAAAACAAAACAAAGAAAGCCAAACACATACATCTTCCAAATAGTGAGCCTTTGTTTCTTTTTTTTCCCCAGTGCCGGGGGTGGGAGCCAAGATCTCAGGCAGGCTAGGCAAGTGCTCTACCACCAATCCACAACCCATCTCCAAATACTGAGATTTAATTAAAGAAAGTCACCTCTGTTTCTGAAGTCTGACGGCCCTTCTGGGACTCCTGGGGGTGTCCACGGATCCAGTCAAGATGATGCTACGTCATAATGTCTTTGTTTCTTTATGTCATGAGAGGTCCTAAGCTCCTCCTCAGTGGAGGGTTCTGGAATCACTGGTTTTTCACTTCAACAACTGACAGCCTGCTCTCTGGAGCAGACACCCTGGGCTCAAATCCTGGTTCCTTTTCCTACTAGCTCTGTGACCTTGGGGCAGGTGATTGAACATTCTCTCAGTTTATTTGTAAAATGAGGGTAAAAAAATAGTATTTGAGTCAGAGGTAGTGGTGCCCACCTGTGATCTCAGTGCTTTGGGAGGCTGGGGCAGGAAGATTGCAAGTTTGAGTCTAGCCTGGGCAACTTAGTGACTTAGCAAGACCCTATCTCACAAAAAATAAAGAGCTGGAGATGTAGCTCAGTGTTAATGCCCTGGGTTCAATTTTTAGGGCTAAAAACAACAAAACAAAACACTGGAAACAGTATCTACTTCATAGGGTAATGAAGATAGAGCAATGCCAATCTTTCCACCCATGCTGTGTGCCAGCCTGCAGAGGAGCAGATGAGAATAAGATGCCAAGAACTGTAATAATAATGCCTAACTTGTGAATACTATCATCTACCCTGACCCAGCAGGCGGGCTACAGTATACTGGGGGATGGATTGTGGGGAGCAAGAGGGTAGAAGTCAGCATGACTGGGCGAGGCAGGAGCTGGGGTAGGTGTGGTTGTGTGTGTGTGTGTGCTGGGGGGAGGGACTACTTAGGGTGCCCTAAGTAGTGGTGGGTTTAGCCGAGTTGTGTCTCTAGCATGGTGGTGTTTGTGGGATTGTGGTTCCCTGAGAAAACATGTGTTGAACAAAAACTATCTCCTTCCTTCCTTCCTTCATTCCTTCTGTGGTGCTGGAGGTTAAACCCAGGGCCTCCCACATGCTAGGTAAATGTCCTGCCTCTGAGCAACACATCAGCTCCAGCATAAGAAATTATTAAACAAGCTGAGGCAAGAGGATTGTGACTTCGTGGCTACCTGGATTGTGTGTGAGACCCTACCCCAAAACAAATAAAAGAAATCATTAAACAAAGAAAATTGGAGGAAAAGGAGTGACTTTTGATAGTTTGGACCCTTTTTCAGTAGGAATTATTGTCTCTTTTTGCTAGTTTCCATTTCCTACAGTTTTGCATTTGCTTTTTATCTGAACCAACAGAAAAAGAAAAGTAATAAAACAGCTATGACAAGGACCTCAGTCCTACAATCTTACCTCCCTTCAGTGACTATTGAGTCAGAGCAGTTGGAATTCAGTTCTAGATCAGGTCTGTCTCCTTCATAGCAAATGCCTGCCAAGTTTTACTTGTTTCTGAAAATTGTCACTTCACCAAATTGCAAGGACTCAGGAATTCATCTTAAGTAACTTGATGAAAGAATTCTTATCAGATTACCTTGACTAAGACAGGTCCTAAATTCTGAGTTTAGCTGTATGTCATTATCAAGATATTTCAAGGTGAATAAATCTCTTTATATTACGGATTTTGAATTTTATCACAACAAATGAAATGCTCTTTTTCTGGCTCACAGTTGTCTGTGTGTGGGTACTTGCTTAAGCATGTGCTGTAGGGAACAGATGCCGTCTTGAATTTTCCTTAATAAAAAGCTGACAGATTTTTAATTAACTGGGGCTTCCAAGTTACTGGTGAAATGACTTCTTTATTGATTTTCACCTTTATTTCTGTTTTTTTCCCCCCAAGATTGGTTGCTTCTTA